CAAATTGGTGAACTATGTCCTTACAAAGAAATTTACCATCAGGACGTATTCCATTACTTCTACTGAAATAATTATTATCAAAATTAAAATTTTCTGCACTCAAATTAACAAATGTTAATTCCTCATAAATAGAAGGCGCTATATTTAAAGTATTTTCGTTATTATTAGCTACCGAGGTCAATGAGCGTCTACTATTGCGGCTTGAGCCCGATGAAGAATTAGATGATGGCTTTGACCCTTTGCTTGCTTGTTGACTTGACTCCGTATAAGATTCATCTCTATATTAAAAGATAAAATTTCAGTAGGAATAAGATAAAAACTGAAAACCAACTCTAAATAATTTAATATTACCTACATTTTAAATTTCATATATTTTAGGCCTGAAACCAAAGCCTTTAATAGCGGATTTAATACATCTATATACCATTCAGTTTTTGTCATGTTTTCAATACTAATACCCACAACTTTCTTTTGTATATATTTGCTGAAAAAACATTAATAAAAACAAAGATGATAACATAAGCGCGAACAGTATTAACATACTTACAAAGCATCTATAAATTCCTTAAGCCAAGATTCTTCTTCATCACATTCAAATAGAGAGTATTCTGCATTATTGACATTATTATTAAGCCAATCTACAACATGATCAGAGAGAGAACCAGGAGAAGGACAAGAGATTGGATCATCAACTATCAAATAGTATTGTTCGTTGAGATGGTCCGATTTCATATCATCTATCTCAAACCGTTCGAGATTTTGTAAAACTCGTTTCTTAAAGTCAATCAAATATTTTTGATCGGATTTGAATTCAACCATCTATAAAAAAAATTATAATTATTAAGGTAAAAGATTAAAACAATATATATACTCATATACTCACGACAATATGCTTGACCATCTTTTGCCAGGGGTTTTCTCGGTTATTTTTAATTCTTTGTTCTATTTCTAAAATCTCTTTATACCCCTTGATATTATATAGAATACTAGACCAACTTTCCTTGATTATCGGTTCATCGCGCTTAAATAGAAATGAATTATTAGTAATTATTATTACCATAATAAAGAGTATGATCTAATAACAAATCAGAAACTCTGATGGGTGTTGCTAATTGAATTATTAGAGAAAATTCAATATTGCAATAAAGTAATAAGAAAATTTTATGAATGTTCTGATGGTTGAGCTGTAACGCTCATGACCATTAAACTATCTAAAAGGGCGGTTAGCTGGTTGAGCTGTAAGGCTCATGACCGTGAACTAGCAAAAGGGGAAAAAGGACGGCTCCTGGTTGAGCTGTAAGGCTCATGACCATGAACTAACTAAAAGGATAGCGTGTTGGTTGAGCTGTAAGGCTCATGACCATGAACTATCTAAAGAGACGGCGTGTTGGTTGAGCTGTAAGGCTCATGACCATGAACTGTTTGAGAATGGGTGGTTCTGTTGAACTGTAAAGCTTATGACCATTATTTAAAAATAAAAAGCTTAGTTACTCCAGTGTCCTGCGTTCTATTGCAGCCTACAAAAATTTTCATCAGCTCAACAAAAATTTGCAATTAAACGAAAGGACACTGACCTGTAATCGTCTAAATATATGCTTCTTCTCAAGTTGATTATATGAGTCTGTAACGCTATTTTTAAAATCTTTTATAGCATCTTGGTAATTCACAGGAAAGTTCGTATGAGCAGTCAGCCAATTGAGAATTACTACTTCATAAAAAGGTGTACGTTTAAAGTATTCCATGCGACGTTAGTGTTACTTATTTGTTGCCTGTAAT